CGAAGTTGTAAGCGTGTATTTTATGCAATCTTAGAAAATTGACTGACGATATTTTGAACACAACCATGCGCCCAGTTGAAGGTTCAAAAAACGCCCGTTCGATCACTCTAGTTTCTGACGACCCAGATAGTCTTGAGGCTTTGACACTGAATCATATCCTTTTAAGTCAGCACAGTCTAACGTTTACGTCTCTATGGTCGACTGAGAACTATCTATTAAAAACGGATTATAATCCTTAAATTTTATATGCCAATATAATCCATTAAAATCAATTAAAACCAATTATTTTGAGAAATTTTTCATAAATTGTACAAATTTTTTCAAAATTATCTCATTTCCTGTGTAGTGCAATTGTCACGTATAACGTTTCAAAGAAATTTACAATTCACATTAAAAAATATATGTTTTTCTGTTTTTATATACCCTGAGTTTTTTAACGCCTAGTTTACTTTACACCCCCCGCCTCATTTTACTTTAATCCCCCTGGTTAGTTTGAGGGAATGACGTTGAGACATGGCACTTAGTGAAGCGAATGGCTTACGTTTTGCAATTTTCTTGCAAAATTTTTGCGAAACTTATCGAATTTATTTCTAAAAATAATATGAATTATAATCAGTTAAAATGGATTATAATGGATTATTATTTAATAATAGATTTTAATGGAAATATAATCGTTTTTCTGGTCTGAATTTTTCATCTGTAAGGGATTATCAAGAAATATTTTTGTCTCGGGAATCCATTATAATCAATGAAAATCCTTGGGCGCTCAGTGCGGTTTACTTCCGACTGGAACTATCAGAAAGCTGTACTTTTTGACATTCCATTTAATTATCATTCACCACTATCACTACTCTTCCCTCAATGTTCTTATTCTTCATTCTTTTGAACCGGAAGCGCCTGTGTTAACTAATCTAACCAAAACCAACTGCCGTCTTTCTCTTTCTTCACTTCATTTCTAGTGAACCGAACCCACTTTTTGTAACTTCATATAAAACCACACGACTTCTTTTTTATTGCTACTGACTTGAAACTGACTTTTTGTTCCGGCCATTGAAAATTCGGAGGAACTTTGTATTCGGGTGTGTTTTAGTTTTTTTTGCTTTGTGTTTTCCACGCAAAATCAGGTACCACAAATAACAATCGGACTGGGTTGAGTGATACATCACAAAAAAAACAATTTCATAGTGATTCCAACCATATTTCAAAACTATTCTCACGGTGTCGAGAAAAACCAGTTTTGGTTTTTGTTTTTTGGTCTAATTTCGAGCTAATAAAGTGATCGGTTACGCTTACAATAGCTTATTGAAACTTAATTTCTGAGGTGAAAACTTAGTTTTACTCAAGTAAAGGTAGTTTTTTTGGAAATTTTATTGCAGTTTTTGGAATCAAAAACTTGGAAAATTCAAAAAAAAATTTCAAAAAAATCGGTTTTCTATTTTTTCGTTCAGATTTTTTTATCACAACATGCAGAAAAAAGACACGAATTTAAAAATGTATTTTTTAAGACTAGTCGGAACATTCTGTTTTACTTGCACAGTAATCGGCTATCCTTGTCTCATTTTTGCAAATTGTACAGCAAGGTAAGTGAGCGAACTACGACCACACCTGCGAGTTCAAATGAAGGTAGAACTACAATTAAAAACTCCTATGCGAAAAGTTTCATTTCCAAAAAACGCAAGTAAGTCCAACACTGAGACTGCTACAAGAACTTTAGGCCAGTACAAAGCAAAAAAAAATGAAGCTTAAATTTGCAAATTTAACGTACATATGCGATGACAATAGAACCAAACATGTGTTGATATTACGTGCCCAACACAGCCCCATGAGAAAGCGCAAAAAGAGTTAAACTAGAAATCGTGTAGAAAATCATGCTGGAAATGCATTTCCAGAACATATCCTAGGCCATATCAAGTTTTGGCCCGAGAAGATCGCAGAATGTGAGAGGAGTGATTAGAATAACGTCATTATTGTATTTCACGTAACCTCTCTGTACTACTGTGATTTCTGCTGTTTGAAAGAAAAACAAAGAAGTAAAGATCAATAGAAAAACCAAGAAATTAACTCAACTGGGCCAAGAATGGGATAAAAAAAACTCAACAAATTAAAACACAAATCCGATCAATTAAGCAATGCAAACAACCTACGTAATACCAAGCTGAATCAAAACGAAGATTATTGAAGATTCATATTTTGAAGAATTAAAGACTCTGATTTAAAAAATTTTCAGATAGTCATACTCCAAAATTGCAGCAATTTCCAAGATAACTAACCCATTGCAAAACCCTCATACTTTAAGAATTGTAGATACAAAAAAAATCAATTCAATCTTTCAACAAAAACCAAATGGTAAAAACCCAAATGGTAGAAAGGAAGAACAAAGAAGAAGATCCAAGAATAACAAATGGCCTTTAACTGAAACAAACAGTCTTGAACAAAACCAATAACGCCTGAGAAATTTTTCTCAATTGATACGGTTCTGCAAAAAGGATGGATGCAAATTACTATCCATAGTTTTCAACTGCTTCAGGATATCCTCAGCACAAAAAACAAAAGCCACCAATTTATCTGAGCAAGTTTTATCACATATGTCGCGGCTATACGAACTGATTGATATCGCGGCTATCCGAACTCGAGATAAAAACAACTTTTTTCTTAAGAACTGGCTTTTAAATTTCAAACGCTTGCAACAAATAAGCCTACAAAGCAGAAAAAAAACACCTTGAATTTCACCACATATATCAGATTTAGCAACTTTTACGGTTTTATTTTACATTTATCTCTCCCTTTATGAAAAAAAAATCTTCTCGATAGACTAGCATTTGGGTGCTTGAGAGAAAAAGCAATGGCGATGGCGGGACAAAAATGAAAAGCATCACCTCACCGCAGTGCTACTGTTACGAAGCATTTGAAGCAACTGAACATCCACGAATTAATTATGAAACTTTTCAAACAAAAAGAACTTTAAAAAACCGAAACAATTTCTCCAATCAATTAGCTCAATAATCATCGTAAAACTCGATGCAACTGTTTTTATGGACGTCCTCAACAACTCATAGTGATCGAAAAAAAAAATCTCGATCTTAAAGGATTTTCTACAAAAAGTGTAATTGGTGGTAATTGATAGTAACTTCTCTTAGATTCCTGAAAAATATTGGTTCATATAATTTTGTCTTTCATAGTTGATTGTAATTTTTACTGAATGAGGGCACCACCTTCACTTGAATAACACGGTAATGAAACCTAGAGTGTAGCCTAGAGTAAAGAAATTTATATTTACGTAGAGAGTAACTTAAAATTTACATGCCAGTGGTTTTGTACACAACTGAAAATTAAACCTAATCAGCGATTGCAATTAATTTGTATTTGTATTCGGGTGTGTTTTTAGTTTTTTTGCTTTTTGATTTCCACGCAAAATCAGCTACTACAAATAATCATCGGACAAGATTTAGTGACATATCATATAAGAGCCCTCTCAGTCTTGATTTAAATGACTTTAAAAAGTGTCACAGTGTCGAGAAAAACTGGTTCGAGCTAATTAGTAAGGTAGTTAGTTAGTGCAATAGGTGTTTTAAGCCTAATTTAAGCCGTACAAATTTAGTTTTACTCAACTAAAGGTAGCCTTTAGAAAATTTAAGCGCAACTTTGGAAATCAAAAACTTGAACATTCGAAAAAGTTCCGCAAAAAAAATGTTGAGAGAACTTTTGAATTTTTTTATCAAATTTTGTTTTCGTTTTTCTAGTCATTTTTCTTCAAAAACTGTTTTCCGATTGATCTATTTTACTATGACTCTCAATTATGCCTAAGGTCTATCTTTCGTTCGGATTTTTTAATCACATGCAGAAAAAATACGACACCGATTTGAGAAAACATTGTTGTATTTTTTAAGACTGTGGTCGGAACATTCTGTGCTATTTGCACAGTAACCGGCTATCCTTGTTCAATATTTTTGCGTATTATAAGGCTGCCTCCCAAATAACTTGTATTTTATCCGGCTTGACCGCCTAATTTTTTCGAAATACAATTTTGCATATCACTGATTTATCGAATAAATTTGCCATCTGTTAAAATGCTTGGACTTCGCAAACTTGCTGATTAGATTCTGATTTTTTTTGTAAAATACTGAAATCTAAGTTGGGTTTTATAGAACTAGAACATTTAATCTAAGCCAGATTTTTATTGTTTTTGTGTATAACCGATCACTTCGTAAAATTGTCTGCCGTCAAATCATTCTAAAAATTGCTCAAAAACGGTATATTTCTTCACTTTTTGCACAAATTCCTTGTAATTAAACTCTTTTTGAGAGAAATTTTAGTTTGCGTTATTTTTTATGATTAGCTCAAACGCAGAAGTGTCTACCTATGATCTAAAAGGCAAATGGTAACAATTAAATTAAAGCAGCACCATAAATTGAAGCATAACAAAGGAAAGCCAGTTGAGTTAGATAAATAGACCAAGTTTTATACATTTCAACTTAAAGCGACAAGTCTGAGATCACGGGCGAAATAAATAGAAAAAAAAATTAAGTGCGCATCAAATATTTCAATTATACTTTATAGCTATTAATAGTGATTTTACATTTTCTTATATCGAAACAAACTATCAGCAAAAATTTAAGAAAACAAAAGAAAACGTAGACTCGCAGCTGATGTTTTGGATGCTGGTACTAATATCCTTAAAATTTTTCGGACATATTTTAACAACCAATTTTGGATAAGGATCTTTATTTACAAAGCATGTTTATTGCAAAAACCATAGCGGACCAAAATTTGCATAAAAAGTTAAATAATTTATATAAACTCGAATCTGGTTTGAGTTAAGACAACAGTTAACAGTTTTTAACTGATTTTTTTTTTCAAAAAAAAAAACAAAGCTAATTTTCAAAACTAACTGCTAAAAATTGATTTTAAAACTTTTTTTTCTTGCTTTAGAAACGTATCTTGACAAGCATTTTATTTTGCTCAAAATATTTCAGCAAGAAACTTGTCAAAAAAACTTCCTCTTTTTGAACAATTTTCTCCAGATTGAGTTTTCGGGCGCCTATTAACACTTTCCAAAATCGAGTTGAAAAACATTTAAGTTCAATGTCGCATCAATGAAAACCGAATGTTTTGGATTTCTTCAGGTGTTTTTGTTCAGTTGTAATCACACGTCTGGTGAACAGATTTCTCCATCAGCGATCGAACCACGTCCGGTCTTACGTAATAACTCGAGTCAGTCGAGGCTTCTTTTCTGCTGGGAGACAGAACGTGAAGAATGTGACTTTGACCCGCATTCACGGCCACTTGCTTCATGTGACCATTTGACCTGATCATAAATTGAAAACTATCATTAATCAAAGTTCGCCTCTTCTGCTCCATAAAACAAATTTGAATTGTAGATGCTATTTTGGTTCTAAGCTTATCTAGGATTTTCTCGAGGGGCGGGTAAAAACGCTTTTCTGGCCCTTGAAAAAAATATTTAGGGTTGATCGGCTGAAAATGAATGATCTAGAACAGTGCAATAAAACTTGTACGGACCTTTTACTAGGAGTTGTGATTTCAACGACCATACCTCCTGGCGGCATGTAAACAGCCATAGTATGGCCAGCACCATGGACTCCGAAGAAAACATCAGTCCGACTCATTAGATGTATTTGCTCTTTCACAGACATGAGTTCCAAAGAAGCTTCTGTGATTTCGACGTTTTTAAACGACCTGATAGCTTGCATAACTTCTTGCTCATTTGTTATTTTTCGCTTAATTTCTCCTTGCGGATTTCCAGCATGGTTGACGTAATTTCTCCGCCAAACTATTGTAACCCGTAAACGCGAACAGTTTCTGGCCTCTAATCTTACGCCTACTTTCTGATAACCTTCATTTCGAAACTGACTAAAAGAAATTGAACCGGTTTGCATTTGATTTTTAAAAACGCTTCCTTGTCGATTCGGTCTGAAAATCAAGTTCTCAGCGAAAACTAAAGATTTTGAAGGGTCTACACCGTTTGAGATTTTCAAACTTGGCAAATACAGAACATCGTCGAAATAAATTCGCCATAATTGGTCCATAGTTGATTTCGGATGGTTATCGAGTAGTATGACCTGGACGCTTTTATCTATGGCCCGAATGATATGAAATAGGTCGAACACGTCCATGACCATCCAATAGGCATTTGCGTATTCTTCTCTCACGACTGCAATCATCCATTCGTACGCGTGGTTTTTAGTCTTCATAATTGTTCAAGTATGATAGATGGGTTTTTGATATGAAAAGGGGTCAAAAACAGGGTGCAATTTAGTATTCATACAGATTTTGAAACAAACCCCCCTTGTATTCTTTCCTTTCAAAAATTTTCCCCTACCCCTCCCCTCTCCTACCCTCGCCCCAAACCTTCCCCTCTCCACCCATTTTATTTCTTCTTAGATGCGTTTTTCATACTTAGTTTTTTAAGACCCAACTATCGAATACCTTCGAAAGTTTTTTGGCGAATTCGGTTGAAACAACAGACATAGCTTTGAAATACTTCGTCTGATGAACTAGTCGATGAGGCAAATGATGTATACAAAGCATTGTCATAAACTTTTCCGTAAATGAGAAAAACTCACCGCGATTTTCTTTCGAAATTTGACCTTCATTTGGGTCAATTATAACATTATGTAATATTTGAACTCGGTAAAAATATTTGAACTCTTCGATACAGCGAGAGTACGCAAGAGCGTCGAGTTGTAATCTAGAGACGTTAATTGCATTTTCCGATAACCGATTCGGATCAACAGGATCGTATTGGCTAAAAGTTCGACGATCTGCGTCAAATTTTTGACTCTCCAAAACGGATTTTGATATGTTACTTCCTGATTGTAAATTGCTAGTATAAATATCGCCTGCGTTCGAAACTCCAAAAGCTCCAAATTTTGGGCTTTCGGGAGTAAAAATTTTGGAAAATGTGACAGTCTCTTTCATTCTGGAAGAGCCAAATGAATTGTACAGACATAAATTTAAATAAAATAAAACATAAAACAAAATAACAACAAGAAAAATAGTTTTCGCCGCGTTTTTCGATCGTCTCATTGTTTCAAACATTTTCTCAAATTAACGATACGCAAATAAATTTTCAGCGAAGAAGGAAAAGTTGATGATTTTGATAAGCTGAACATTTTGAGCAAAAATGTAGAAGACAATCTTGTAACGCGCCATTTGCGTTTCAAGCACGACTAATATTGAAATCTTTGTTTTTCTCTATATTTGTTTCGCGATTTAAAAGTGCCACTTTAATATAAATTTCATTGCGAAATTCAAATGCTTTTCTTGTGCTGGAAAATTAATTATTAATCTACGCGTATCACCTGCTTTTGATGTGAGCTCGCGTTGAGCTTAGCTTTACTTTTCTCAATCTCATTTTTTTTCAAATTCAAGCATTTATCAGATTTACTTGGTTCACTATTTGTTTGACTTGCATAATTTTTCCCTATGGTAAAATTAACTAACAGGATTGTAAATAAATTGTTTTGTTTGATTGCTTGTTTGCTTAGCCAAAGTCATTTAATAGTAGGTTGAAAAAAAAACAAGTGCCGGTTGTGGTAGTAGGGTAATTTATTATTCCACCCACCGCTTTAATCTAATCCACCGTACTGTTTTTTATTTGTGCATCACTTGAATTGCTTTTGACTAATGGAAAGAAAATCGATTTCTGGGGCAAAAAAACTACAATAACCTTAGGGTAAGAAGATAACAATAGCCTTAGAAGATTACCCAGATGTTGTTAACACCCACCCCAATCCATCTTGTTTCGAAAAGCTAAAAGATACGTTCGTTTTCATTTCTAGCTTCAATATTCAAATATAAAAGCGTTCACGGTAGGGGTGGATTCACCCGATACAATACGAGTGGTGGGGGTGGTTAATTATTGTTTTTAACAATTGCAATTGCCATTGTTAACGAGATCGGATAAACCTATTTAAGGTATGAAGAAAAACACAAAAAAAATGTTTTCATGAATTTAAGTTAATCAAGTTTGTATGAATGATGGAGAATAGCCAACAAACACAGTAGAGTAGTTTTTGGTAAAATTAATTCACTTCCTCTATGAAAGCTTCCTTTCTGAAACATAATTCATCAAACTGTTTCGTGAAATAAATCTACTGATGCTGGGATAACTTTTTGTACGCATTGAACCTTTAAGAGAAAAGTTCCGCATTTGTACGCATTGAACCTTTAAGAGAAAAGTTACGCATTTGTACGCATTGAACCTTTAAGAGGTTTTTTAAAAAAGTTCTTTGACAAGTTTCTTAACTTGCCCGTCTTCTAAAAAGTTTTTACAAATCCCAGCAGAATAAAAACCTTATCTGGACCAAGTTAACATCCTCCCCCCTAAACACGTTTAGGGGGGAGGATGTTAACTTGGTTCTAAGTTGGGAACTTTCAGCCAATCAGAATCGAGCATTTTACATGCAGATAAGGGATCAAATTAACATCCTCCACCCCAGCGCTTAATTTAAAGTAAATTTGCTTAGCGCTGCATGTAAGCCAATCAACCACGAACTCCGGAAAACATCATTTCGACATCATTTCAAAATTGCTAAAATTAAGAAAACTTGCAAACTTGAATTCAAAACCGTATTTTAATTGTGTTTCCTTGCAGCTCTCAGTTTGCTATGTTTTTGCTGTTTTGGAAGGGAGATGAGCCTAGCGTAAATCTTCAAACTGGTCACGAATGGTTTAAAAAACATATCAAATCAATCAAATGCCTCGCTATTCACCCAAATGAACGCCTCTCTGTTTTAAGAGGATAAAATGGCTGAATTACCGATAGAAAATAGTGTATAATGATTGTTACAAATAACATTCATGACTGTTGATTGGCGCAAGGCAAAACACTTAATAGAGTCTGATATATTTTTTAAAATGCATTCAATTTAATTTGTTCTCGATACTTGGAACTTAATTGGAACCTTGTAAGTAAGGCTCGATGGTCGAATTGCTTCTACAAAAGGCCCTTTAATGACATCGTGATTCAATGCCAACTAGCGCTTGTTCCAATTGATTATTCTGGAAAATGGGATGGGATTATCTATCATCAAAGAAATTGAATTTGTGCAACCGCAACTTCATGGAAAAATGGAATTCCCTACAAATATCAGAAACTTGCAACTAACATTGGTAACCTGATTAAGTGTAAATTTGTTCAGCAGGTTTGTTCTGAATAAATAGGTGTTCCAAAAAAAATACTTTCAACATAATGGCCTAAATGGTGTTTTAGCATAAGAAACAAAAATATCATTTTTGGAAAAAAAAAACATTAGTTTTCTTGAAATGCAAACATTGCAAGATTTTTGAAAGAAATCTTGCAAAAATTCTTTTGTATCTTGCTGATTTCTTTCAACGATTGTGCAATCCACTAAAAAAAATTTATCAATGGTTTTTGCTGTTTTGATACGGTTACGTCGCAGTATTCAGACAACCGCGTACTAATACTCGTCAATAAGCAGAAAAGTACTATATTAACCAATCAAAATCGAGACAAAGAAAAAAATTTTAATTTATAATTATTTTTTTCGTAAGTGCGCTGTCTCATCTCAATTCTGATTGGTTAATATAACATTTGTCTGCTTACTGACGAGCATGAATACACGGTTGTCTAAATATAGGCGTCACTCATTTTGCTACTTGCAATGATGTTTATAGTTTCTTCACATCACAATCAAATGTTTATCGGAGGTTGCTGAAACATGTGTAGCCCACGAAAAAACTTAAAGAGAATTTGAACCAGTTGCATAAAAAAACTGAAGTTATAAAGGATTATTAACCATTTTTGAAAAAAAAACTATTCAAATAAGTGACTTGCCGTAGAATTTGTTTTTCAAGCAAGTATTAGTTTGGAAAATTAATTCCGCATAAAAAAGTCATTTCAACCAAGCGCTCTGAATATAAACCTGGGTATTATTTGCACGCCCAAAAGATCTTTTTTTTCTATTAATAGCGTGAACAATCATTTTTTGCCCTCGAAGTTAGTTTCTGAAAAACCGGTAATTTCCAGGTTGTTTTGAAGAAAAAAAAATTAAAAAAAAACACGTTTAACCTAAAGTTGTCAGTAGTGTTTTATCATACAAAATAAAAAAACAATTTTGTAAAAACATAAGTTTTTCTAAAATGCAAAAATTTTCCATAGTTCTTGAAAAAACTCTTGCAAAAATTTTATTTTATTTTGCTAATTTCATTCAAACTTCTCAAAAGGTTTGCAATCATCTTGCAAAATCTTTACAATAACTCTATCCTTTAGCTAGAAATCATGTCTTCAAACAAATGCGCTGAATATAGTCCTGGAGTTTTTTTTCATGCCAAATAGCTACTTTGTTATTAGTGCAGAATTTTAATCATAACTTGTATCCATTGTCTTTTTTTAGTAATTAGAGCAGTGTTTTGCGCTTGAACTTGAGTTATAGTTTTAGCAAAAAAATATTTACCGCTAATTTATTAGAACATGAAGGAATATGCAAGAAAAATTTCTAAAATTACAAATTAAGTTGTTAGTTTGAAATTCGTTTGTCATACTTCATCACTAAGTTTTTTAAGTGGTTAAAAGGAGGCTTATTTGTTTTCTTGAAAAAGAAATAAAAACTTAAATTGTACTAGCATAAAGGTTTGATAGTCTTTTTCGTAATGATTAAGGAAACTTTCTACCTAAGAACTACAGAAAATTTTTAAGCAAATTTGCAAAATTCTCGCAAATTTTGCATTCTTTTGCAAAAATTCGTATATATATATATTTGCATCCAAAAAACACTAGGGAAGAGTGAATGTTTTGAGAGAGATCACTTTCTTTGACTTGAAGCAAGCTTTAGTGATAGACATTAAAAAGACGGCTATAAATCCAAACCCCTTTGTTTTTTCGTCGTCTTCATAAGAAGTTGATAATTTGTCCGGAAAAATTTGTTTTGTCTATGCATAAAAAAAATTTTGTAGAAGAAGTTTTGAAGACGGAAATCTTGTCAAAAAAAAACTTGTCAAAGAACTCGAAAATTATCAAAACGCATCAAAGTTTCACGTTTAACTCTTGAAACGGAAAAAAAAACTTCACCAAATGAAAAATAGTGCTTATTCAAAAACCATTCAGCCGAAATGTCTCTTTTTTTGAAAAGTTCATCGTTGTACATCATAACAAAGTGTAAAGTTCTAGTACAACAGTTTGAATTTAGAACTCATGGACCAAACTTTAATTTTATTTTTAAACAGCTAGAGTATTTTAAAACATACACTGACATATGAAAGCATAAAATAACAAGGATAGCACAGAATGTTCGGACCACAGTCGTAAAAACATACAAAAATGATTTCTCAAATTGGTGCCGATTTTTTCTGCATGTTGTGATAGAAAATCTGAAAAAAAACTTAGAACTTAGGCATATTTGAGATTCATAGTAAAATAATTCAATTGGAAAACAGTTTTTAAGAAAAAATGACTAAAAAGCGAAAAAAAGTTTGAAAAAAATTTTGACGGCTTAAATTATGTTTAAATAAGTTATTGCAATTACTAACTATCTTACTAATTAGCCCGAAATTAGACCAAAAATCAAAAACTTCAAACCGGTTTTTCTCGACATTGTGGAAGTTTTTTGAATCACGACTGAAAAGATTTTATTATGAGATATCACTCAACTCTGTCCGATGATTATTTGTGGTAGCTGATTTTGCGTGGAAAGCAAAAGAAACAAAGAAAACTAAAAAAACCACCCGAATACAAAGTTCCTCTCCATTTTCAATAGTCGAAACAACGAAATAAGCAAAACAAAAGAATAATTATTCAAAGAGCCTGACTTTTTTTCCTTACTATTCGTTTCAAGAAAATTTTGATCAAGACAAAAAAATTTTCAAAAGCTAGTCAAAAACTCCTCGTTTGCAAGTTGATTGTTTTTTGTTATTCTACGTGACAGGTCTTTGTCTATAAAAGTATTGTTTTTTTTCGCAATAGTTTTTCTCATGGTTCTTAAATTCAAATTCACGAATAGTTTAGAGGCAACTTTTATCTGTAACAAACACAAGAGCGACGGGCTTAGGTCACCACTAATTCAGATAGATAAATGATTACAAAATTGGTTTTCATAACGTAATCAATCACAAACAGAATCCATCACATCGAGTTCAAACAAGTTTAATGTTTCTGTTTCGATTTTGGTTTTAGGATCAGAGATTTTTTTCGAGGACGTGTGGTTTTTTCAATAAAATTTCTTATTTATTTTTTGTTTTGGTGGTTTGATTTCGGAGCTGATTTTTCAAGTGGACCCTCAATTGAGAACAAAAACAAGCGCAAAACAAGCTCTATCTATTTCAGTTTTGAAAAAAGGGCTTTTAAAATTCGCAGCAGAAGAAAAACAAC